AAAAAAAACGGCAGGAGTATTTGGAGCGATGGACCCCTATAATGAATTCATTATCGCTGCCATATGCATGGACACTGGTGTTGGACAAGCGTAAGAACGTGTGCTATACGTTCGACGCTCTGCAGCTGAAGGAGAATCTTGCAACTTTGAAGTCCAGCGTGCAGTTCGTGATTCAGCCGATACTAAGCTTAAAGGACCGGATCACCTACAAAGAAGTTGACTGGTGTCAGCAGAAGGACAACAGCTTGTGCGGTGTTTGGTGTCTGGTTATTTTGAAGTTGTTGCTTGCTGGCAGACTGTGCGCTGACAATCTCTACGACGTGCTTCCATACCTGCGACTGCGCTATTTGTACAAGGTAATTGGCATTCAGCGAGGCAAGCCTGCTGAGAACGAGAACTAGGAGGAGAGGATGCATTTTTATTTGGTAATTTCAACATGAATGCTGGAATAATGACATTTGAGGTATCTTTTATTGGATATTGACAACTTTGATCATCTTTAATGATTTTGTGCATTTTCGCTGCCGTACCGGATCGACACCGGAAATATGCCAAACGCGAAAAACGATAAAGTTGCAAAGTCCATAGATTTAGAGAAAATGATGGCGCTGTTCGTCATTTAATTTGTGGCCGTCATATATTTTAAATTTTCCCATCCCAATGAAAACAACTGCTTGGAGTCAATTCAAACCGGTACAATTTCCAGCTAGTACAGTATCGTGTCAGTTCATGTCTGTTTACGTTTATGAAAATGATATCAACACTTTCCGGGCTCAGTAACATCGTCCGACCAAGTGTTAAATGTACGTGAAATAACGTTGCGTGAATGTTGTTAGAGTACTGCGTTTCGGCTGTATGCACCCCCGAGCCGAACAGCCAGCAAGCAGCAGATTTGCAGAGGGAGTAGATTTCCTTCACGAGTGATTCGGGCGATAAATAAACGCGAATCGGATTATGTACACGTATCTCGGTAGAATCGCCAATGTTGTAAGGACAGCGTGGTGCAACTTGCACACTGAGCAAAAATGTGTTAGCCAGGAAAACTTACTCATAACTCGACGAAAACAAGTACCTTCATGCAAAACAGTGTATCTATAAGACCGTCATACAGTACCTCATAAATAAAAATCCTTACCAAAAAA